TATGAAGATGATAAAAATTGTCTCCTAACTAAAAAAAAACACTCAGGCCTGGAAGGATGCAGCTGGTTTTTACCAGATATTTTTTTCCTGCTCTTCACTCGAAACAGAGAGAGATATTTTATACAAGTTACATATGGTCACAAGTAAGGACAGAACTGGTCCAGAATGCCCCAGATGGAGGGTAGAGGGCCAACAGGACTGTTTTGGTTTTCAGGAAGGCAGGAGGTGTTCTGGAGAGATGTGAAGCTCCTGCTCTGCTGACACTTATTCCTGACAGTAGCATGCAGTCCTATGGCTTGCAGCAGCACCCTGGCCCCCAGCACCCTGGCCTCCTCCAGTATCCTGATCTCCAGCATCTTGGCCCCCAGCACCCTGGCCTCCAGCATCCTTTATTTCTGCTCTTCAGCCTTCGTGGGTACACAGGCTGATTTACCCTGGCCGCTACCTCATCTTTCTTCTCTTGGGCTTCAGCCTGCATGTTCTCTTGTTCCTTTACAGTGCAAGAGTTTCAAGGAAGAATGAGCCAAGGCAGAGAGCTCTGCCAGACTTTTCATGAAGAACCAGTGCTCCTCAAACTGATCTATAAAATAGAAATGGAAGGATCACTATCAGGCTCAGTTTGCAAAGCCAGTATTACTCCGATTCTGGCCCAGATAAAAACAAAAGAAAATGGCAGGCCAATATCTCTGGTGAACAGTTACAAAAATTCTCAATAACATCCTGACAAAACCAAATTCAACAACACATGGAAAAGATCATCTACTATGATCAAGTTGGCTTAATTCCTGGGAGGCAAAGATGGTTCAATACACAGAAATCAGTAACTATAACACATCACATAAACAGACTATTACATGACCAAATCAATAGATGGAGAAAAGCTTTTGACAAAGTCCAACATCACTTCATCATAAAATCTCCAAAGAATCTAGGAATAGAAAAGGTATACCTCAATATAATAAGAACTACATACAAGAAAATTACAGCTAGTGTTATATAAAATGGGGAAACATTCAAGTTTTCTACTAAAATTAAGAATGACACAAGGGATTGTAGTGGTGGTGAATGAATATATTAAGGACCATGATATACTTGAATGAAAACATGTTCACTAAATCTACCATTATATACAATGAATATAGGTCAATAAAATTATTATGCCCGTGTAATGAAACACTATGTAACCATTAGCATGTTTAAGTGCATTGTGTTGGTTAGTTTTAACTTCCAACTTGACACAATGTAGAATCACCTGAGTCTCAATTGCAGGAATGCCTACATGGTGTTTTGGTCTTTGGGCCTATTGGGGGGGGGGTCTCTTGATTATTAATTGATGTAGGAAGAACCAGTCCATTGGGCTGCATCATTCTCTAGGCAGGGGTGCTTGAACTATACAGGACAAGAGAAAGCCAGATGATTTCAGGTAGACACATCATCAGGCTTGAGTGGATTTCCTTTTTTTCTGCTCTTGACTATGGAAGTGATAGGACTGCATTCTTTTTCTTTTTTTTTTTTAATATAGTGTAGTTTTTTTTTTTTTTTAAGATTTTTATTTTATTATGTATACAGTCTTCTGTCTGCAGGCCAGCAGAGGGCACCAGATCTCATTCAAGGTGGTTGTGAGCCACCATGTGGTTGCTGGGAATTGAGCTGAGGACCTCTGGAAGAGCACTCAGTGCTCTTAACCGCTGAGCCATCTCTCCAGCCCTAGCTAGGACTGTATTCTTAAGTTCCAGCTTTGACTTCTCAGTGATGGACCACTAAACCACAACAACAGAAAGGAAATGAGGGCAGGCAGTGTTTGGGGATACTCATTGAAAATGAACACATAATAGTTTATAATTATTGATTTTAACTGTCTAGAAATTCATATTTAAATATTGACTTAAAATATTTGAATTATAGATTTTCTCTCTAAGCATTTTGAACATTCATACCACTATAAGAATACTCAAGTCCTGACACACCGAGAATCTGACGTGAGCCATTTTAGTGTTGGTGGTGACCCCCTTGGGGGTGCTTACAACTCCCTGGTCTCTCATTTCTTTAAAGCCTTGTTTAAGGTGAAAGGGGATAGGAAGACAAAGTAGTTGGTTGTGAGGTTGCCTGGACATCCGCAAGGACAGCCAGCAGAAACTAGGATACCAGCTGTGGATGTACAGTTGACCCAGCAGCAAGTCCCCTTCTCTGGTCTCCCCACTTATGCCTAGATTAGCAGAGCCAGAGTTTTTCAATTTACTCCGAGTAGATTTATTGCATGCATTGACTACTGTTATGTGCCTGGTACTACACAAGGCATTAAATGAAGGTTAAACAGGACCTGGGTCGCATCACCATGCCGATGTCTGTCAGGAAGAAGGTAAGTAGATGTAAGTAAATTTCGCTAGTGGTGATTGCGCAGACAGCAATAATTTTAGATCCTTGGTGAGAGGATGTTTTAAAAAGCCCACTGATGAATAAGTTCCGTGGTTCTAGAGCAATCCAGGGCCAGAGCTGAGGACAGATGTTTCAGTGTCTGGATCCCCATGACTCACTGCATTCCAGAGAACCTGGGGCTGGAGGGTTGAGGAGACTCAGAGGAGAGGAAATAGATCAGAGAAAAACAATGCAACATAAAGGGTTGACTTATTCATAAATGCTAGGTTTTTTTTTTTTTTTTTGAAGATGAATGGAAATAATTTTACTTCGGAAGTGAAGTATGCCAATTTGCCTACAAATAGTTTATTCCTGCATTACAAAGAAATAGGGATGAATGGGACTATGTCAGGGCTTCTGGGAATCCAAGAATAGTTGAACAAGAGCGGCAGCCCAGCGAACAAGGACAGAGGCGGGGATGTAGGTGCATCCTTCAGCAGCTGTGTTGGACCTGGGTGAGCAGGGACTCAGTTCCGGTTGTCAGTTATCCTCTTCCTTGCACCGTTATTAGGAAGGTACATGAAATGGAGGTGGGAACTGTAAAAGACAAACGATAAGATGACTGGTAATTTTAGTTTTTTGTTTGTTTGTTTGTTTGTTTGTTTGTTTTTGTTTTAAATTGTGTATGAAGGCTTGCCTGAATGTATGTCTGTACACCACATGCATGCAATGCCAGAAGAGGCCAGAAGAGGGCATCATATCCCTTAGACCTGGAGTTACAGATGGTGGTGAGCTGCCATTTGGTTGCTGGGAAGCAAACCCAGGTCCTCTGCAAGAGCAGCCAGTGCTCTTAACCACTGAGCCATAGCTGTATCCCTGACCAGTCCTTTTTTTTTTTTTTTTAATAGACCAAAAGGAATTATATACGTCATATATAATCTGTGGTTAGAATAGCAGTTTTATTTTATTTTTTATTTTATTTATTTCATTTTTTATTTTTTTATTTCTCGAGACAGGGTTTCTCTGTGTAGCTTTGGAGCCTATCCTGGCACTCGCTCTGGAGACCAGGCTGGCCTCGAACTCACAGAAATCCTCCTGCTTCTGCCTCCCGAGTGCTGGGATTAAAGGCATGCGCCACCAATGCCCTGCTAGAATGGCAATTTTAACTGGAAAGTGCTCCACTTTCAAAAATAAAATGCTAGGCGCCTCTCCTCCCTTAAATCACTGACAGAAAACATGTTCTCTGTGGAGTGGTCTCATAATCTGAAAAGTCAATACATGCCATCTTTTGTATTTCAAATATTTATCTCACTGCACTAAGAAAGATGAGTAGAATAGCCAAAGGTCCATCAAGATGTAAATTAGTGAGCTGGAGCGATGGCTCGGCACGAACTAGTCAGGTATGTCTGAAGCAAGTGTTACTAGGAACTCATGTGCACTGAGGGAGGTGTACGGGTATGTGTTGAGGGTAGTGGGAGCAGAGGTCACAGCTGGGAATGCCAAGGCCTGACCAAGTGACACCAGGTGGAGTGAGGCATCATTGATACTCTGGCATGCTTGGCAGTCTTTCACATCCCCATCTTGTCAGGGGAGGGTAGAGCTGTCAGAGGTAAACTGAGTCTCAGAGAGCTTCTCCAGGTCACCTCCCCTTTCTCCAGGTCACGTCCCCTTTCAGATCTCCAGAGTCTGGAAAGAAGAAACTTCCATGAGAAAATATTTCCATGGGAAGGGCCAGTAGGCAAGTTTCAGCTACGTTTTCTTAATTAGTGGTGGATGTGAGAGGGCCAAGCCGATTTCGGGTGATGTCATCCCTGGTCCAGCAAGCCTTGGAGAGCAAGCCAGTAAGCATCATTCCTCTGTGGCCTCTGCTTTAGTTCCTGCCTTGACTTTCCTTTCTGATGGAGTGTAAACTGAAATAAGCCCTTTCTTCCCCAAGTTGTTTTTGGTCATGGGGTTTTATAAGAGCAAGAGAAACCTAAGAAAGACATGGAGCAGAGGGGATTGACCTGTGCCTGGAGCCTGGTAGCAGCAGGTATTAATTAGCTGGGCACAGCCGAAGGGGGAGGGCAGCAGGTCCGTGGTGCCCGCACTGGGACAAAATGAACAGGTTGCACATTGACCTGAGAGCTGGCAACAACCTCCAATAGAGAACATGGAGGCAGAGATGGCTTCAGGATAGGACTGGGAATCCGGGCTGACCTCAAGGGGAGAAGGGCTCTTTCTAGTGCAGAGATTAAAATAAACAGAAAATGTGAGCACTTGATTGCATAATTCCAATTGTATCTAGAATGGGTTTAAAGTGATGTTTAACAATAATTGGTACATAATTGTGCATATTATGACATTTAATAGACATATAGGTCAGCATGGTCACATGAAGGGAATGGCATACCCACAACCTTTGACATCATGTCTTTGTATTGGGATGTTGTACACCAATAACCTCCTAATTCAAACATTTGGTCAGGAGGGAGGCAACTTCAGACTCCGGAAGTAAACAAAACTTACAAGGCTTGTGAAGTTCCTGAAACTTACAAGATTCCCAAGGCTGTTACCCAAGGTTATCTAAGAAGTAACAAAGGCTGGTGGAAGGAGACTCTGAGCCTGCAGGTCATTCTGGGAGCTCCTGGGATGTAGCTCTTGCTTTTAAGATAAATAATAAAGCAATCGATCTTTTCCTTGTAACTGAAAAAATGCAGCCTGCCAGCAAAAGAACTGGCTGAGAAAAGTATCTTGCATGCTTAATCTATAAGAAGTTGCTTGGACATGAATGTGTGTGGGGTTTTGGAGATAATTTGTTTTTCACCTGTAATACATGATATAATCGTGTAAGGGAAATGGGAAACATGCTTTTTTTTTTTTTTTTTTCTTTCTTGTATTCACTGCAGTTGTTCACTTGAAAAATAGAATGTCACCACAGTGTAATTTTTATACTGCTTGAAAGATTCTGACTGGGCAAATAAGCTGTAAGGGATATAAATTAAGAATACACAGAAGGGATACATCTGGATAGAGGTAAGAAAAGAAAGAGATAAAAGAGAGATATGATAGAAAGACTCTAAAGGGTGTGTGTGTGTGTTTGTGTGTGTGTGTGTGTTTTCCTTTTTCGCCAGCCCCAGGGAGTTAAGTTTGCCCCAATGACCAGCCCCCCAAAATTAAGTTTTACATCCTCAGATAGAAAAGTCAATTGTGTGATTAGTCTGCTCGATTTCATGGCTCCCCCTCAAATCCTGAGCTGCTGAAGGCTGGTCCTCATGGCAGCAACACAGCATGGAAACAGAAACAGATCCGGTTTTTTGTTTTGTTTTGTTTTTTGTTTTGGCATATTCAATTACCAATGTCAACCATAGTGTCTGTTGGGTTCCTGAATGTTCAGAGTTCTTCTATGCAACTGTACCTGTCAACCACCCCCTCCCCGTCCCTGTCCTTCCCTGATGCTCACTCCTGTCCCTTGGTAATCGTTCTACTTTCTGTTCTAGTGACCTGGAGTTTTTAGCTTCCACATGTATGAGTGGGTGTGCAGTGTTTGTTTTTCTGTGTCTGACACCTCACTTTATGGAATGCATTTGGGTTGATGTTTTGCTGTGGCTAGTTCCCGGATATGAGTGTCTTTTATAAGAATACAGACTTGACTGCAGGGTCATGGGTGGGGCTCAGGCATACGTGTTTTAAAAGAATGATCCCAGGATACTTATTATTGCATAGAGATACCTCCTGCCGATGGATGTCTGAGATTTCAAGATAGCAAGGTGTACTGGCTTGCTTTTCCGTTGCTGTGATAAAACACTGGCCAAAATCATCTTGGGAAGGAAAGGATTTATTTGGCTTACACTTCCAGGTTACAAACTGTCAGTAAGTGAAGTCAGGGCAGGAACTCTAGGGAGGTGCTCAAATAAACTCTGGAGAGGAATGCTGCTTGCTGACTCACTCTCTGACCCAGGCTCAGGCTCGGGCTCATGTTTATGTTTAGCTATCTTTCTATAGCATCCTTCATTCATCTGCCTAGGGATGGTACCACCCACAGTGGGCTAGGCCCTCTCACTTTAATCAACCAATCTGATTCAGGCAGTCCCTCAGTTGATGTTCCCTCTTTCCAGTTGAGTGTAGGTTGTATCAAATTGACAGCCAGGACAGAGGGTGAAGCCAATTTTTGGTCGGCTTGATAGTGTTTCTCAAATTATGCTGTGGTTCTACTCCATCAAACCTTGAGAGAAAATTTGTTTGAGGGTGGTAGGGTTCCACATATCATAACTTGTCTTTCTTTTCTCTGGTCCAGTGGGACTCCTGGGTGTCAATGAGCGTGCTTGGCTTAGAGTCATATGAATGTCACCTGCCTTACTTCCTTCTCTGACCCTGGGATACAGAAAATCCATCAGCAGGTATGCGTTAGCCTTCTTGCTATGTATCTAGTGACCATACACTTTGTGGCATAAAACCCTTCGCTATCTTATGTTCCCACAGTTGTGGAGTTCAGGCATGGCTTAGCTGGACCTGTTCCACAGGCCATAATGTGGCCATCAGCCAGGCTGGCTCTTAGATGGAGCTTGGAGCTCCTCCAGTGTTCCTGGTTGTTGGCAGAATCCACTTCCTTCTGGTTATACAACTTCTTATTTGTGATGGACTGTAGGTCTATAGGTCTGTAGGTCATTGGCAGTCTGCTATTACATGGCAGATGTGTCTGAGACCAATACAGACAGGCATTTTCTTTCTGTATCTCTCTGGGTAGCCCTTGCATTCATATAAGGTAGCTGAATGAAGAAAGTGATGTCCTGTCCTCTCTACAGAATGGCTGTGTATTAACCTGCTTAGGCTGCCACGACAAACTACCTTAGACCAGTCTGATTATTATATCTTTTTTTTTTTTTTTCACTTTAAAGGTGTGGGTAAGGGGGCCTAATCACTCTTCCAAGGTCCTGGTTGATAGGTTATCCAATTCCAAGTGGTCAACACTAAATACATGTACATATGAACAGTACTAAATGGATTGGGTTTGTGTGTGTATGTCTAATAATTAAAAAAGGTCATGAATTTGATAGTCAGTGGGGGAGAGGGGACATGGGAGAAGTTAGAGGGAGGTCAAAATGATGGAAATACAGTACTCATATATGAAATTCTCAGAAAAAGAAATGAAGTTAATTCGGGCAGTGGTGGTACACACCTTTAATCCCAGGACTCAGGAGGCAGAGGCAAGTGGATCTCTGTGAGTTCAAGGCCAGCCTGGTCTACAAAGTGAGTTCCAGAACAGCCTCCAAAACCACAGAGAAACCCTATCTGGAAAAACCAAAACCAAAACCAACGCCCCCCCCCCAAAAAAAAAACAAACAAAAAAAATGAAGTTAAAAACAATTCACAACCTCCCCAAACTGCACCAGGCTGGTATTCAAGCATTTCAACACATGAGCTTGTGAGGGACAATTTCATAGTTAATTTATAAAATTGTCACATCATAGCTATTGCTGCCTTATGCCATTTCAGAGTCTTAGGCTCAGCCAGTGAGGACCGGTTGGTGAACAATGAGCAACCTTCTTCCCAGGAAAGCAAATGCCTTTCTGGAAGCTCCCAGAAGATCATAGCTTAGCTTTCATGCATGTCAGGTAGAGATTTCGGTATATCCACAGACACTGACTTTGTTTCAGCAGAAAAACAAAGAATTTTCCTGGGAAGACATAGCATTCCCTCCAAGAGTGCTTTGTAGAAACAGCCTTGTTTGGTTGAGGTCGGTCTCACCATGTGGCTCAGGCTTCAAACTTGAAATCCTTTTGCCTCGGTCTCCAGAGCCCTGGGGTTTCAGGACTGTTATCACCACCCCTGGTTTAGTCGCAACCCCTTTAAAATTGGTGTTTGAAAGTTTGATGGCTGTGTATTCTTTTTTTTCTTTCTCAGATTTTTTAAAAAAATTGATTTAGAAACAAGATTGTTTTACATGACAATCCCAGTTCCCCTCTCCCTCCCGACCTCCCTAACTATCCCCCCAACTAAAACCCTACCTTTTCTCCTCCCCCTGGATGGTGAGACCTTCCATAGGGTGTCATCAGAGTCTATCATATCCTTCAGGATAGGGCCTAGGCCCACCCCCATGTGTCTTGGCTCAGGGAGTATTTCTCTATGTGGAATGGACTCCCAAAGTCCACACCTATGCTAGGGATAAGTACTGAACTACTACAGGAGGTCCCATAGATTTCTGAGGTTTCCTCACTGAAACCCATGTTCCTGGGGTCTGGATCAGTCCCATGCTGGTATTCCAGCTATCAGTCTGGGGAGCAAGAGTTCCCCGATGTTCAGGTCAGCTGTTTCTGTGGGTTTCACCAGCCTGGCCTGGACCCCTTTGCTATTTACTCATCCTTCTCTGCATCTGGATTCCAGTTCAGTTCAGTGATAAGTTGTGGGTATCTGCTTCTACTTCCACCAGCTGCTGGATGAGGGCTATCGGGTAGCATATAAGTCAGTCGTCAATCTCATTATCAGGGGAGGTCATTTAAGGTAGCCTCTCCTCTGTTGCTTAGATTGTTAGCTGGTGTCATCTTTGTAGATCTCCAGACATTTCCCTAGTGCCTGATTTCTCTGTAAACCTAAAATGTTTCCCTCTATTATGGTGTTAGACCCCCGAAAACTCAAGTATCCGGGGTCCCAGGCCACGTTCTCGGTCACCCCAATCACCAGGAGGATTCGAGAGCTTGCTGCAAACTGCACGAGGCTTTATTGTAATTTAACGAGCTAACCCCATGTTAGCTAGGGTCTTTCATCCACCCGCCAAGGCGGATGGCCAGAAAAGACGGCTCCTAGGGGCTCCTGAAAGATCTTACAGGGCAGCGTAAGGGGAGTGTCTAGGGGTACACACAGGCTCACGATTGGTGTGCCTCCAGGCTTGGAGGGTTTGCCCTGTGTTGATTGGTCAACTGGTTGTTATGGCCCATAGGCCCTCCCAGGGTGGTTGCTATACTCTCTACGT